CAGCAAAAATCTGCTTGTGAAATGAACAGCTCTCTCCGGCAAGCAGAGTTAACCACTCCTTCCTTTCTGTTGTACAAACACTGTTTATACCCCTACTACAGCATGCAGCACGTTACAACTGCAAACGCTGGTCATTTTTACGGCCTTGGGACCCAGCACTGCCTGATTCATAACGGATGCTTCAAAAGCGTTTATTGTAGCCCTGGCTGCATAGTGGTTAAAGCGTCTGGCCGCTAACCAAAAGGTCGACAGTTCAAACCCACAAGCCGCTCCACGGGAGAAAAATGGGCAGTCTGCTTCTGTAAAGATTTACAGCCTTGGAAACTCTATGGGGCAGTTCTACCCTGTTCTATAGGGTTGCTATAAGGCAGAATCCACTCAATGGCCACCCGTTTGGTTTCATTTTGGTTTTCTATAGGGTCACTATGAGTCGGAATCGACTTGACGGCAGTGGGTTTGGTTTGGTTGTTTTGGTGTGAATGAATGAACTAGTTTTAGAATGTTTAGATTACACATTTAATAAAAAACGGCTAAGGACAGAATGAATTGTCAAGGTAGAAAGCAAGGACTTCCTAAATCCGGTTTGTGTCATCATGCTAGACAAAAAAACCACACGTCATTTTGAGATTAACAAAGGAATACGAGCCATATGAAACCCACTTCGGAACTAGAATCACGTATAAAATAGAAAACTTTCTCTTGGTCTAATTGTGGGAAAAGAAAAAAATTAAGTGAATAATAAGCATTGCCAAGCATCTCCCTTTATTTCATATCTATGACAAACCCGAGTAAACCAAGTTTCCTGAACTAGATCCTTCCTCAGAAGTATAAATGACATTACATTTCAAAGAAAAACTTAGGGTCTATTAAACTAAGCTTAAAGAGAACATTAATCTATACAGCAAAACTATTAGTGCAAAATGCTGATATCAGAGGCCAGACAACACCAGTATTTAAGGATTCTGACTTAATGAAATCCAGTATTCACTACGGGCTTGTCCTCTGAGAACTTCAGCAGGGCCACATTTGCATTTTTTTGACTCCTTACCTTTTAATGTAACAGATTTAACAATTGTTAGAATCCATGGATTCTGCTAAGTTAGATGGACAACTCAGAAATAAGTGTTGTTAGCTGTTAGGTGACATCAAGTTGGTTCCAACTCACAGCCACCTTATGTACAACGGAACAAAACACTGCCCAGTACTGTGCCACTCCAGAAATAAGTAATGGTATAATATTCATAATAACTACTTTTTTATAGCAAAGAAAACTGTACTTATAATGGGATTACAAACAGTTCCAAAAACATTTTAATACAACTGATTAGTCAGTCATGTATAAACAAATGAATAAAATTTTAGCGAAATTCTTCTATTTTATATCAACTGCACTTAAAACTAATAGATAAGTAAACGTAGAAAATTCAGAAGATGACTTGTTACCAAGTAGGCTGCAAGAGTAGAAATAAAGCCACGGTAAAGAACTGTTTTTAAAAATGACTCATAAGACAACATAGTCATGACACAAACGGCTATCCTAAGGGAGTATTCTTACTCCCTCCTTGGAACGTGTCACACAGAGCAGGAACAGTAATAACACGAACATGCTGTCATTAACACACAAGCCAGGCGACCAGTGTCTCCTCACTCAGGAACGTGGCTCCCCACTCACAAATGACTACGAACAACCTCTGTACTTACCAGCAATATGAATCCTAGAAAAATGGAGACACTACATAATCAAGACGGAAATTAACTCCAAGTGTCCATCTACAGATGGATTAAAAAAATGTGGCATATCCATACGATGGAATATTATTCAGCCACAAAGAGAATTCAAGTTCTAATACTTGATGAGCTTTGAAAACATTATGCTGAGTGAAATAAGTTAGACACAGAAGCGCAAATACTGTATAACCCCATTCATATGAACTATCAAGAATGGACAAACTCATAGAGACGAAAGTTCATCGGTGGCGAAGGGGGGAGACGGGGAGTCACTGTTGAAGGGGCACTGAGTTTCTATTGAGGATGATGGAAAACTTTCGGAAACGGACAGTGGTGATGACTGCACATGACGGATATGTAATTAATGTCCTGAACTGCACACTGAAAAATGGTGGAAATAGATATTTCACCACAATGTTTTTTTTTAAAAGATTGAAATTAACACTTGTGATTAGGTCTATTTTAATTCGAGACCCAGGTCAAACAGCCTTTCCAAGTCTATACAGTCATGAGGTGCAGAGAAAAGCAAAGCATGAACCGATGACTTATAAAATTACCCTCCATTCCAACAATATGCTTTCCTTTCCTCTTCTACAAAACGGGATGATACAAGTTATGAGGAATAAATGAAACGACACAGGTGAAGCTCAAAAAGCCTAGCACTTGGGAACAAGCACTTCATATGTGTTACATTATTATATCCCCCCCTTAAACACAAGCAATTCCTTCCACCCATCCTATTAACCTAATTGTTGGTCAATGGCCCCACTCAAAGGCTGGCGATGTAATCTGCCAATACTATGAAAATGAACTGTAAAATGAAAATACTAATCTCACGAAGATACAAAATTTCATGATGTTAACGAAAGCACTATTTTTAAAACGATGATACAGCACAAATTAACAACTGAAGTAGGGAGAATAAAGGATGATGAAGGCTGGGAACTTCAAAACATGATAATCTGGATACCAATGTGGCTCGATTTCCTTTACCAAGACCCTTCCCCAGGGATCCTATGACAGAGTACACCGCGGAACATTTCCTACTCCTGGCTTCCCCTGTTGGCAATACCCTTTCTTCTCCACCTGGAGGAATTCTGCTCACCAGGTGGTTCAGTTCAGATGTCACTCCCTGTAATCTTGCCCAAACTCCAGGCAGAACTATTCCCTCCACGTCCCCAAGACACTGAGACAGCGGTGCTAATAAAGCAATCTCACACTGTATCCCAGTTACGTTCAGCTTCAGTTCTTTGAGAGCAAGGACTGTGTTTGGACCCAGTGCCTAACACTCTCCATGACACGGAAGGCACACAAGATGTTTGAGGAACTGAATTCTAGAATTTTAGGTCTGGGACAAGCCAAAGAGGCCAACCCTTGTTTTCAGATGCAAAAGTGAGACTCAGGAAGCTGAATGACTTGCCCAAGTCACAGACACAGTGGCTGCAACAAGACCGATCCCCAGGTTTCCCTTCCAATAAAACCCATAAAGACAGGGCTGTGTCTGGCTCACCGCTCCAAACTGCTCCATCAAGGCCAGAAGCAGGTGCACAGCAGAACCTCCATAAAATGCCGTCCATTACAAAACGCTTACATATCAATTCATAAATGTTGAGCAATACACAAACCCTAGTTAAATTTTTACACCAGTCTTATATCAATTCGCACTTGTAAAAATTCTGAAAGAGAAGCAAAATCATCCATCCTGCATGGCAACATATGAAACCGGTATATGTCAAAAAATTTCTTTTTGCTTTCCAGGATGAATACATTTAAAGTGAAGCCTGTTTCCAGGCTTACAGAAGCTTGCCTACATCAACTGACGTGCAGTACACCAGCATGTAAAAAGATTATTCATACAGTGCAGACTACGTCAAACGCTAATAAAACCCAAGTGTCAACTTGCCTTTGTAGAAACCACACACGAGGGTTCACGTTTTAAGGAAGTTCAAGTCTACCGGCCTACAGCCCCACCACGACTCGCTGCCATCACGGGGAGGAATTAAGGAGAATGACTACTTGCAGCAAGGAAACGTGGATTTCACCAGGGGAAGACGAGGAGGAGCGCCAGGATGCCCAATGGACGAACGCGAGAAGCAGCAGTCTGCTTTCCGACCGTCAGCATTCATGGACGACAGCACGCGTCCTTCCAGGAATTTCACGGCCGCAGGCCCCCGGGCTTCGCCGACCAGCACTGACAGCCCAAAGGGGCCACGACCGGGCAGGGCCCAGGGCGCCCCTCGGGTGGGCATTTCGCGCACAGGAAAGGGCGTGGGGCCGGCCGAGCACAAAGGCGGGGACGACTTCAGGGCGGGTCCCGCCGCCGCCTACCGCCCGGGGTCTCGCACGCCCCCGACCCACCGACGCCCAGACCCAGGCGCGGGCTCGCTGCACGCCGGGGCGGTGGCAGGTTTCAGCCGGAGGCGGCCGAGACCTTGACGGCCCAAGAACCTGCAGGCCAAGACGCCCCCTCACAGAGGCCGCCCGTCTCGGAGCAACGGCCGCGGCCACGAGCCGCCGCCCACCCCGACCCGCAATGGCCCGCCCGCGGCCTTCGCCGGCCTGTCCCCACTCTGCAGGCCAAGCCGGGCTGGCCTTTGCCCCGATCGGGCTGCAGGGCCCCAACCCCGCCCGCCCGCAGGGCTCCAAGGCGGCGGGAGACCGCAGGGGCCGGGAGAAGAGTGGGCCCGGGCCCGACGCCCCTCAGACTCACCATGGCGAAGCCCCCGAGCCTGCAGCAAGAGCAGCCACCCCGCGCGAGCCTCCCGCGGTCAGGTGACGCTGCGGCCGCGGCACGCCCCGCCCTCTCTAGCCCCGCCCACAGACCCGGCAGGCGGCTCCTCCATTGGCCCGCTTCTGGGAACCCAAGTCTCGCGTGTTTATTGGCTCTTGCCACTTATCGCCGGACTGACGGACTTGGGCAGGAGCCAGTCTCTCTACAGTGTGCGAGAGAGGGCGGGGTCTGGAGAAACCTAAGAGGAGGGCAGTGGGGAAGCCCTTGGCCATGAGAAAGGCGACAGCAGGAGGGAAAGGTGACGTTTGATGAGTCTGTCAAGGAAGGAATGGAAAGAGGCGAACCGTCCACGTTTACCCTCAGCCTTGGGGCGGGCCCCATGATGCGCATGCGTAGAACGAAGCGCAGGATTGGTTTGTGGGAAGGTCTCGACTTCTCCTCCTAACCAATCCAGATGCGCCTGGGGGCGGGGCCTGGCTCTCATTGGCTGGCTAGGGTGTTTGCGCGCGCATTTGGTCGCATCACAGCTGCTCGCCCTGTCGTTCGCGACGGCGCCATGGAGTCAGGGCTGATCCAGCGGTTCGCCCGGCGCTTGGGCATCACGGAGCCAGATGTGCTGAGGTGAGTCCCGAGCCAGATGTGCTGAGGTGAGGGGTGCTGAGGTGTGCCCCTGCCTCATCGGCCCTTCCAGAGGACGGGCGGCCCCGGAGTGGGAGTGGGGCCCCGGGGCTCAGTCGATTCCAACTCACAGCGACCCTTTAGGACAGAGTAGAACTGCCCCATAGAGTTTCCAAGGAGCGGCTGGTGGATTCCAACTGCTGACCGAACCGAGCTCTTAGCCTACTGCTGCACCAGGGCTCCATGAGGTGGCGAGAAAGGGGCCGTTGTGCATGTCCTGGGAACAGCAAGTTCTGTGGGATGCACGGTGGTGGGAAAAGGGAAGCGGGGGAGAACTCTGCAAAAGTTGATTGAGGGTCTGTGTACAACGATGGGCTGGACGGACGCGGTGCAGACCCTGGAGGTCGCTGTGTAGAAAATTAGGGTGATGTGACAGAAGGGCTGGGCCGTGGGGCACACAGCGCGGCCTGGGGGCTGCTGTCGATGGAAATGTGGAGGAAAGGCCTCGGAGGAGGTGCTCTTTGTGCTAAGACCCGATTGATGGGAGGTGCCAGCCATGGGAATAACGACCCAAGCAGGGACAACAGCCTGTCAGAGGCCTGGAGGTGGGAAGGACCTTTGCCTGCTCCGGGGGTAGAAACAGCCAGTGTAGGTAAAGCTGGAGAACAGGACTAATCTGGGTACCCTGTAGTCAACGGAGGGAAGGAAAGGAAAGGAACTCGTCTTAAAAGATGTGTAGTAAGACCTCCTGGATTTGTAACCGACAGCGGTTCTCAAAGTGTCGCTCCAGGACCAGCAGCGTCCATATCATCTTGACCCTTGTTAAGAAGTAAAATTTTTGAGCCCTGCCCCAGACCTACTAATCAGAAACCCTGGGGTTGGGACCCAGCAATCTATTTTAACAAGCCTCTCCCCACCCCTCACACACCCCAAGGTGATTCTCACGGACACCAAAGTTTGAGAACCACTGATTTAGAGGAAGGGGGAAAAAGTAGTCCTGGTTTAACCTGCTAGCCTCTGTGATTGTTCATGCTGTTCCAGCAATTGAACGTTTTTTGAAAGTATTGAAGAACTTGCTTTTAACCTGAAAGTGTTTGATCACAGTGGTGTCTGGAGTCAGGGGGCAGTATTGTTCTTCTTATCGAGCCCCCCAAAGGATGTGAGCTTCATTCCCAGCCGCAAATACATTTGTGTAGTAATTAGGCTCAGGATGAAGTCCACAAAGCTCTAGTCATTGTTAACCAAAGTGTTGGGCAAACTCTCGGACAAGAGTTTTAGTGACCATGTTGCCCTTCTAACCAGGAAAGCAGAGGAGTACTTGCGACTATCCCAGGTGAAGTGTGTTGGCCTGTCTGCACACACCACGGAAACCAGCAATGCAGTCATGTGCCTGGACCTCGCAGCTTCCTGTATGAAGTGCCCCCTGGACAGGGTACGTAGGTCCCAGTCAGTGTTTGAATAGCCAGTGCAACACTGAAGCGTAATCATGCATTTTAATTTCTGGTTGGACTAGACCCCATCCTAACACGCACACAGTCTCTCTGTCTCTGTAGCAGATGATCATATGCATTAAATGGTAGCATTACAAACAAAGCTAATGACAAATGTTTGTTACGTATGTATTTACCACAATAAAAAAGAAAAAGGAAACTAAAAAAAAACTCCTATGGAACACACATGGGGTCACCATGAGTCAGAACTGACTTGATGGCAACAGGTTAACTCCTTGCGGAGGACAGCATTGATTGCCAACCCCTGTGAGGTAGAATGTGTTTACACAACTCGTTTGAGTAAGATATGCCTCATTGTGTGCTGTATATTCTGCAGTCATATTGATGGTAAATCCCATGGCAACTTACCATCAGTATGACTGGGAGAGAATAAACGTGTGCCATTCAGTGAAAAACAAGGTGTGGACTGCCCATTACCATCAGACACTCTGTCCTCATTTAACATTCCAGCCTCTCTCGAATCCTAAACTCAGGGTACACTCCTCACTTCTCCTACTGTGCGCTTTAATGACTTACGGCTTTGGAAATGCAACAACATTTTTTACTAGAACGTCTTCTGGAAAACTTATTCGTCTTACATGATTCCACCTTGCTGTTCCATCCTCTGTAAAGCTTTCCTAAGTTATTCCAGGCAGAGATGGCTTCCCACAGCTGTTGATGGCCCCGTTTCTCCCCAGGTTTCCCTCTTCTGCCCCTTCCCCTCCTCTGCACACACCCTCCTCTTCCCACTCCCATTACTTCCCCCTTCTTTCCCAACGAATAGCATTAACACCTTTGTTGAAAACAAGCCCAGTAACCATAAATGTGTCTCCCATGGTTTTCTATTCATCGTTTGGCTGTAGTGACACTATGCTGTATTTTAAATTATCTGTTCCTGACTGCCTTTCTATATTGTGAGCCTAAGAGTAATACTTTGCTTGACATAATTACTAATTATTGACTGAATGAAACTAGACCTTTAGGTACTGTGACTTGTCACAGAATTAATCAATTGTGAAAAGTTTGCACAAATTATTTAATAAGTGCTTAAGGGCACTAATACAGAGAACTTACGGTCTTTATGATTTGTGTGTGTGCTTCCTTTCAAAGGCTTATTTAATTAAACTTTCTGGTTTGAACAAGAAGATGTATCAGAGCTGCCTTAAATCTTTTGAGTGTTTACTGGGCCTGAAATCAAATATTGGAATAAGAGACTTAGCTGTACAGTTTAGCTGTACCGAAGCAGTGAACGTGGCTTCAAAGATACTGCAAAGGTATGAAGATTTATACTAATATATAAAGCAAAATTATCCAGTGTCCTATTCTGGTAAATTTTCAATCTTAAAAAAATAACTAATATGCTAAAGTGACAGGTGCATGGCTCATGTAATAAAAAAGCTTGTAAATTCTGAAATGCATTTATCAGTCCCACTTGAAATAATATTTTCTAACAAGTAATTCTGCAAATGCTGCTTTCTCTTAGCTACGAGGCCAGCCTTCCACAGGCACAGCAAGTAGATCTTGACTTATCCAGGCCCCTTTTCACCAGTGCTGCCCTGCTTTCAGCATGCAAGTGAGTATGTCTTCTAATCCTCAGGAAAGTTCCCAATTTGCAGAGGGGTGTTTCAGTCCCAAAGAACACTTAACTGAGGCTGATTGCAATCAGAACATATTTTCCCCGATAAGTAATGTTGGAAATAGTGGCTGAGTGACTTGATTCCCAGTTTATCCCATCATGTAGCTGACAACTTGGAACTAGAAGTCCACTTGCCAGGTGGCAGACATTCATACGTAAGCTGGGTGTTCTGACTCCAGGCTCGGGCTTTTGTAAGTGATGAAATCTGTTCATTAACACAGGGGTCATCTGTGATTTTTCTGGGTCATATTTAGAAGAAGGAAGTACTGATGGCAATAGTTTTGAAGCCATTTGTCATACATTTCCATTAGGAAGTCTTACGTCTGGATCTTACAGTTGGGGGTTATTTATGTGTATACTGAAATGACACCCTGGAAATGTGAGTAATTATTGATATCTTTGTGTAAAGTTGTCTTGCTGGAAAACTTCTTAGCAAACAAAACGTAGTTGGTGCTTAACGAATAGGTTTCTCACGCCGGGCTGCCCATTTTGGCGAATTTGGCTCTGTTAGCTCATACTTAGCGTGATTCATTGGTGTTCGTGGAAAATGTTTCCTTGGTTTAACCGAGGTGTGTATGTATGGGGAGGGAGTGTGGCTGTCATTACAGAAAACAATGAGAATTGTTACCAAATAACCCCACTTTGAAACCAGATTACACTGAGCAGAGAAAGCTATGAGCAGATCTGCCATCCTGAGTGAGAAGTTTGTTTTGTAGTTTTTATTAGTGGTTGTTAATGGAGTTCTGTTAGGTGGAGTTTTTTGGGGGGGACGAGGTTACATCCCTATAGTATAAATACCAGCATTATTGGACACATAAAAATGCTGTGATTATCATTCAGCCAATTACAGCAAAACCTGTGAGAGCCAGAACTCAACGGGCCTGCCTTGGTTCTCCAGGTCTCACAAGTTTTCCGTCTTTGACAGAGTGCAGTCTTACCACTTTTCTATCGCTCTCTGTTGGTAGAAAATATTTGAGTTTTCCTTCTCTGACAGGTTTCTGCCTTATACAGGTTCCAGCTTTTGCAGGTTTTACTGTGGTAACATCTGAAATTTACGAAGAGTTTTAAAAGGTCTGAAACACGCTATAGCAAATTTCTTTATGTGCCCCGTTTATTACACAAAGATCCTATGTGCATTCTAACTCTCTCATCCAACAGACAACTAAAAAGGCAAGTTCCCATGGTCATAGCTAATCACATATGCTTGAAATAAAGGAAAAACTGGGTACTCGGGGCTCTTCATAAAGCAAGGATGAAAAGGAAATGAGATGATAATCTAGTTTGCAGAGAAAATAACTGTACTGGCTTCAGAAAAGTAATTTACCGAATTCTTTCGTAGGATTCTAAAGCTAAAAGTGGATAAAAATAAGATGGTAGCCACATCTGGTGTAAAAAAGGCCATATTTGATCGACTGTGTAAGCAGTTAGAGAAGACTGGGCAGCGGATTGACAGTGAGTATTTCCTAGTTTAAGAATGTGTCATTCGAAAACGTAGACGTGCTGGTAGAAGTTAAATATTTTCAAACTTGCCAAATGGCTGCTTTCAGAAGTCTGTATTTAATGTGGAGCTGATAGATTTTTAGTGAGAAAATGGTTTTTTCTATTTTTCAAATAAAGTAGCTTAATAACTTTTTTAAAAAAGATATTAATCCACGCCTGGAAAGTCAATTCTCCATCCAATTGCTCTGATTTTAAATGCCATCCTCCATATACAGAGGCTAAAATAAAAGTGATTCTCACGTCTGAGAAGAGAAGGTAAAGAACGGAACCCGGCCAGCACGTTTGCCTTCTCCCTATCTTAGTATAACAGTTCTTGGTCATTTGAGGTGTCTGATTTTTATTTGTGATCTAGAACATGCCGAAATACTAAAATGAGAACAGGAGAAAAGTTAACCTTGTTGATGCTTTTTTCCCCCCATAAAGGAGAGCCTGGAGATTTAGCTACTCCACCACGGAAAAAAAAGAAGACAGTGGTTGAACCCGCAGCAAAAGGTCAGTCTTGACTAACACCGTCCTGACTTGGGGATTAGTGTACAGTGGGGTGAATGCAGTTCACAGGCCCGTGCTACATTACCAGCTTGCCTGACGAGTCAGGTTTTAAATAAATCCTGACCGTTAACCATTTGACAAGACTAGTTCTTCAAACAGTCGTTCACAGAAGTATTACACAATTGAGAATGCATTCTGAAGCCGAACTGCCTGGGCTCCTTGCCGGCTTTACTACCTCCATGCGGTTTTAAGAAAATCACCTAATTTCTGTGGGCCTTAACTTTCTAATCTATAAAATGTGATTAATCTTAACATCCACTTCACAGGATTTTGGTGAGGGTTAAATGAGATAATACTGTTCAACACTTGGTTCAGTGCCTCGCAAGCACAGGGTAGGTGCTTGGTGAATGTTAGCTATCGCTAAGACATGGCGCAGTGCTGGGAGTGTGGGGGAGAGAGTATTCTGTGGTAGCTGCTGTTTCTGCTTTTCATTATTTCAGCATCTTACTCTATTACTGTCATTAACTAGGCACTTTAAAGTAGACAAGTTTACTTTTTTTATCACTTAATTTGTAAACATACGAATTTTTAAGTCACTTGAAAATTTTCTCTTCTAGAAAGAGAGAAGACAGTAGAGATTCCACATCAACTGCAGAAAAACGAAGATCCGACGCAGGATTATGAAGAGTGGAAGAGGAGAATTTTGGAAAATGCTACCAAAGCCTCTAAGGCCACAGCAGAGTGATTTGAGCGTCCAGACTGACACGCTACAAACCAGCAGGACCAGGTCACCTCCAGGAAGAGCTGAGGGCTCTGAAATATTGTTTGAGCTTTTGTACCTTTTATCACAAGATTTGTAAGACTTAATAGCAAAGAAGCCACACACGGGCTGTTCTGGGCACCGTGCTGGCCGCTGACGTCAGCCACCGTCCTCAACTGGCGTAGACCTGGCTCGCCACGGCCTGTGCTCTCCTACGAGATAAAATTGGACTTGTTTTGTTTGTAAGCGAAAGACGGTCTCCCCTCCTATCCAGAATGTGAAATTCAGGCTGTAAGGAGTCTTACAGATTTTAATTAAGTTTTTGTAGAAGTTTTTTGGTTTGATGGGATCAGTATATGGCGCAGCCTAAGTTAATAAATATTATTTTTCTATGCATTTGAATCGCACTTGTCATCCGTCTGGGAAAAATCTGTTACACCAAAAGCTGGGTTGATTCTAGCAGGAAGAAAGGCCGGGTTGCTGTGCACTGAGCCACACTGCTTACCAGGGCCCAGTCTCTAAATCAGACTCCTGGCTTTCAAACCCGGCTCAGCCCCTTACTGCCTGCGAAGCCTGGAGCAAGTTAACTAACTTCTTTATGCCTCATCTTTAATCAGGAATAAAAACAGAGCGTCCCTCATAGACTCCTTTGGAGGAGTATCTGAAATACTGCATGCAAAGCACTTACCACAGTCCCCAGATTAATAAATATTCAGTAAATACGGAACAGAGACACTCACTCCTATTGCGATTTCACATAATGAATTACACGTGAGCACCATACTCTAATGAGAAATACACCAAGGTTTATTTTCGTTTGATGTCCGCATACATACAAACTGCAGAATGTAATCCTATGAATACTATTTATCTGAGAACTCTGGGAAAAGGCCTTTATGGATGGTAAGAAGTTGCTACCGGCTCTGAGGCATCATGCCCAACATGATTCCAACTAAAATTCAAGAGTACATGATCCAATTAAATATTTCCATGAAGACTGTGATAAAGCGGTTGCATGTGAATTTTTAGAATCTATTCAGAAAGGCATCAGTACTAACAGTGGCAGCCTTTGACCTGCTGTGAGGCACACGTATGCCTGCTGCACGTTTATCTAAATCCCCGCAAGAGTGGTTTGTCTTTTCCCCTGCCCTTTTTAATTCTAGATACTTAGGCTAAGGCTAAAGAAATAAGATAACCAAGTGATCCCAATATACGCATAATGTCCAGCAAGCCTGTGGTAGAATGTGAGTTGTAGAACCACGTGCGTTTGGATTGACATTCTGGCTCTGCCGCTCCTGCTCTAAGAAAATCTCAATTTTAATGAGCCTGAGTTCCCTCATCTATCAGTGGAAATACTATCTAGGCTGTGAGGATTCGGGTAATGTCTGTAAAGTGCATAGCACTTAGAAGACATTTACTAAATGATAGCTTTCACTATTACTTGGATCTAAAACGGATCAGTGATTCTTTTTCTCACTTAAGAAGGTACGTATTTTTTTTTATTATTAAATCTACTCATCACCATGCAAAGTTAAGCACATTACCGTTTAAATTACACTAGTAAGGTAGGATTCTGATCATTCTGAAACTTCTGAGCCTTGTTTATATACAGTATGAAAATACATATAAGAAGTATTGTTTGTGACTTTTTCCCTTTATGCAAATAAGCCTTAAAAGCAGGTGTTCGTAAGTATTTTGATTATTACTTCACTGTTGGCAATACCTAACAGATACTTGTTTATTTCTTAAATTAGTTGGGAGTTGCCTTAAAGCAATTTTGGCCAAATGCCCTCCTAGGGCAAGAATCCTTTCTACAATTTTCTAATTCACACTACCTACCTAGTGAGTCAGGAGCCCAGTGGTTAGGTGCTCAGCTGCTAACTGAAAGGTCAGTTCAAACCCACCAGCTGCTCTTCGGGAGAAAGATGTGGCAGTCCGCTTCCATAAAGATTACAGCCTTGGAAACTATGGGGCAGTTCTAATCTGTCCTATAAGGTCACTATGAGTCAGAATCAACGCAACAGCAATGGGTTTTTTACGAGACTTAGTGAGTCAGCCTGATCGAGTATTGTCAGACAAACCTCATTGATAAAGAGGCTTTAGGCTTTCGATTGTTTCATTTGAAATTAGTGAAAACTTGTTAGAAGCTTAGTTTTTTTTAACAGCTCTCCATGGTTTATTTAACTAATTTTTAAAATTTTTTATTATGAAAATTTTCAAATATATGTAACAGTAAACAGAACGTTCCAATGAAACTCCATACCTATCACCCAGACCTAACAGAGTTTGCCACACTTGCGGAACTCTGCCTCCCTTTACTCCTGAAGTCATTCAGCCTGCACAGCCACGTTGCCATTATCACATCTCACAAAATTAATGGTAAGTCTATTATTAAATACACAATTTATAATTAAATTTCCCCAGATGTCTCCAAAATATCTTCTGTTACTCATTTCTAGAATCAGGGTCCAAGCAAAGTTCACACTTGACATGCAGCTGCTAATTTTTAATTATAAAAGCAATACATTCTCATTGTAAAAAAAAAAAAAATTCAAATAGTTCATAAAGGTGTAAAGTGAAAAGTGGAATCCCCTCTCCCCCCATCCACACCCCACTGTTAAGTTTCCTATAGATCCTAAAATTTTTAATGCATATATAAGCATTTGTCTCTCCACGAATGGGATGATACTATCTATTAAAAAACAAACAAACTCGTTGCCATTGAGTTGCTTCTGACTCACAGTGACCCTACAGGACAGAGTAGAACTGCTCCATAGGGTTTCCAAGGAACAGCTGGTGGATCTGAACTGCCGACCTTTTAGTTAGCAGCCAAGCTCTTAACCACAGCACCACCAGGGCTCCTGATACTACATATACTGTTCTATAATTTTCTTCTTACAAGGAAAAGATGCCTATCAGTACATCTAGATCTACTTTTAGTTGCTGCAAAATATTCCACCTTATGGGTGCAGCAAAGTTCATTAACTAGATCCATACTGAATAGACGTGTGTAGGTGGTTTCCATTGAGCCATTCCCAACAAGTGCTAGAGTAAACATCATTTTGTATAAATCTCTGTCCACGTGTCCAAGTATGGCTGAGAGAGAAATTTCCAGAAAGGGAATTGCTGGATGGAGGTGTGGACATGACTTTTATTGGGATACATACCCATCAGAAGTGGAGAACGCCATTTTCTCCCCATATCCTCACCAACTCTAGGTATTATCATACTTTTTTAGCTTCGCCAAACTGATAGGTAGAAAAAGTGGACCCTGACTACCTTTCAGAGCCCTGGTGGCTCAGTGGTTAAGAGTTTGGCTGCTAACCAAAAGGTCGGCAGTTCGAATCCACCAGCCGCTCCTTGGAAACCCTATTGGGCAGTTTCAGTCCGTCCTATAGGGTCACTATGAGTCGGAATCAGCTCCACGGCGACCGGCTTGGTTTTTGACTACCTTATAGAGTTTCTCTGTCCAACAGTCTCCAAAACTGTTCATTCAAATAGAAAAGTTCCATTAGAAATAGATACCAGCACACTGTCAACATAAAAAAAATTCGAGCTAAGTACACACCAGAAAATGTCCATTCTCCTAAACCGAGAGAATGAAAACATCCAGAAAATTCAAGCTTCATAAAAGCTCTTCCTTGCATTTCAGATCAAGGAGGCTAAAATCCACATTACCTCTTGTGTGGGCCTGACCTAAATATCCTCAAAGGTACTGTGGAGAGAAATTGTTTCTCTAGGTAAAGAATAGCAGCATACAGGAGAGAAAAAATAATTAGAATTTGATAGACATAGGATTCTCCCTAGGTCTGCCCTGTCCAGTACAGAAGCCACTAGGCGCATGTGGCTATTGAACACTGAAAATACGGCTAGTGTGACTGCTGAACTGAATCTCTAATTTTAATTAAGTGTAAAAATGGATACTTAATTTGATTATTGGAAAATCTATGAGTATGTCTGGAACAACTTGAACATGTGAGAGTATTTTTCAACAGTAAATTTTACAAAATCTAAATACAGATGTCCAATGAAAACTTAGCATCTGAATTCAGATGTATTTTAAGTGTAAAATACACACCAGATTTTGGAGACTTAGTGTGAAAAAAAGAATATAAAATATCTCCATAATTTTATATTGGTTACATATTAAAGTAGTAATATATTTGATACATTGGGTTAAATCAATTATTTCACCGGTTTCCTTTAGAGGTACAACTAGAAAATTTT